TCTATCAAATAGTTTGTCATCCTCTTGACTCACACTGTGATGAGAGGGCATATTTTTCAAAATTAGTGGTAATATTTGTAATATAAATATCAAGTATAAAAATAGATCTGATAGACAGAGTGCCTGATGAACTATGGATAGAGGTTTGTGAAGAATCAAGACCATCCCCAAGAAAAAGAAATGCAGAAAAGCAGAATAGCTGTCTGAAGAGGCCTTACAAATAGCTGTGAAAAGAAGGGAAGTGAAAAGCAAAGGAGAAAAGGAAAGATATTCCCATTTGAATGCAGAGTTCCAAAGAATAGCAAGGAGAGATAAGAAAGGCTTCCTCAGTGATCAATGCAAAGAAATAGAGGAAAACAACAGAATGGGAAAGATCAAAGATCTCTTCAAGAAAATTAGAGATACCAAGGGAACATTTCATGCAAAGATGGGCTCAATAAAGGACAGATGCAGTACAGACCTAATAGAAGCAGAAGATATTAAGAAGAGGTGGCAAGAATACACAGAAGAACTGTAAAAAAGATCTTCATGACCCAGATATTCATAATGGTGTGATCACTCACCTAGAGCCAGACATCCTGGAATGCAAAGTCAAGTGGGCTTTAGGAAGCATCACTATGAACAAAGCTAGTGGAGGTGATGGAATTCCAGTTGAGCTATTTCAAATCCTGAAAGATGACGCTGTGAAAATGTTGCACTCAACATGTGAGCAAATTTGGAAAACTCAACAGTGGCCACAAGACTGGAAAAGGTCAGTTTTCATTCAAATCCCAAAGAAAGGCAATGCCAAAGAATGCTCAAACTACTGCACAATTGCACTCATCTCACAAGTTAGTAAAGTAATGCTCAAAATTCCCAAGCCAGGCATCAGCAATACATGAACTGTGAATTTTCAGATGTTCAAGCTGGTTTTAGAAAAGGCAGAGGAACCAGGGAAATTGCCAACAGCCATTGGATCATTGAAAAAGCAAGAGAGTTCCAGAAAAACATCTATATCTGCTTTATTGACTATGCCAAAGCCTTTGATTGTGTGGATCACAATAAACTGTGGAAAATTCTGAAAGAGATGGGAATACCAGACCACCTGACCTGCCTCCTGAGAAACCTGTATGCAGGTCAGGAAGCAACAGTTAGAACTGGGCCTGGAACAACAGACTGGTTCCAAATAAGAAAAGGAGTACATCAAAGCTGTATATTGTCAGCCTGCTTATTTAACTTATATGGAGAGTTCATCGTGAGAAACTCTGGGCTGGACAAAGCACAAGCTGGGATCAAGATTGCTGCGAGAAATATCAATAACCTCAGATATGCAGATGACACTACCCTTATGACACAAAGTGAAGAATTAAAGAGCCTCTTGATGAAAGTGAAAGAGGAGAGTGAAAAAGTTGGCTTAAAGCTCAACATTCAGAAAACTAAGATCATGGCATCTGGTCCCATCATTTCATGGCAAATAGATGGGAAAACAGTGGAAACAATGGCTGACTTTAATTTTCTGGGCTGCAAAACCGCTGCAGATGGTGATTGCAGCCACGAAATTAAAAGATGCTTACTCTTTGGAAGGACAGTTATGACCAACCTAGACAGCATGTTACAAAGCAAAGACATTACTTTGTCCACCTAGGTCCGTCTAGTCAAAGCTGTAGTTTTGCCAGTGGTCAGGTATAGATGTGAGAGTTGGACTATAAAGAAAGCTGAGCACCGAAGAATTGATGCTTTTGAACTGTGGTGTTGGAGAAGACTCTTGATAGTTCCTTGGACTGCGAGGAGATGCAACCAGTCAATCCTAAAGGAGATAAGTCCTGGGTGTTCATTGGAAGGACTGATGCTGAAGCTGAAACTCCAATACCTGGCCACCTGATGTGAAGAGCTGACTCATTTGCAAAGACCCTGATGTTGGGAAAGATTGAAGGCATGAGGAGAAGGGAATGACAGAGGATGAGATGGTTGGAGGGCATCACCGACTCAATGGACATGGATTTGGGTGGACTCCAGGAGTTGGTGATGGACTGGGAGGCCTGGTGTGCTATGGTTCATGGGGTCACAAAGTGTCGGACACGACTGAGTCATTGAACTGAACTGAACTGAAGTTTGCTAGCACATGAGATGAGTGCAATTGAGTGGTAGTTTGAATATTCTTTGGCATTGCCCTTCTTTGGGATTGGAATGAAAACTGTCCTTTTCCAGTCCTGTGGCCCCTGCTAAGTTTTCCAAATTTGCTGGCATATTGAGTGTAGCACTTTCACAGCATCATCTTTTAGGACTTGAAATAGCTCAATTGTAATTTCATCACCTCCACTAGCTTTGTTTGTAACAATGCTTCCTAAGGCCTATTTGACTTCAGAGTCTAGGATGTCTGGATCTAGGTGAGTGATCACACCTTCATGGTTATCAGGATCATTAAGATCTCTTCTGTATAGTTCTTTAATGTATTCTTGCCATCTTTTCTTAATATCTTCTCCTTCTATTAGGTCCATACTGTTTCTGTACTTTATTGCACCTAATTTGCATGAAATGTTCCCTTGGTATTGCTAATTTTCTTGAAGAGAACTCTAGTATTTCCCATTCTATTGTTTTCTTCTGTTTCTTTCCTTTGTTCACTTAGGAAGGCTATCTTATTTGTCCTTGCTATTCTTTGGAACTCTGCATTTAGGTGGGTATAGCTTTCCTTTTCTTCTTTGCCTTTAGATTTTTGATCAACTGAATATTTTGGTTAACTGGTAGATAGAATGGTAAACTTCTATGGTAAAATTCCCTGACTTCATCTCTTAATTAGTTTAAAACCAATGCCTTTTATAGCACAATACCATTTAAAATAAGATTTCTGGTGTTCACCAGGTCTCCATTGAATAAGGAGGTCCCAGAGACGGTGTCAGGGATTTTAAAACATTTTTCCAGTCTCTCTACCAGTTCACCAAATTATTCAGTTGATCAAAAATAAGCACAGAGACACTCACACACTTAACAAGAGCTAACAAGTTTATGGTGGATCATCACTGACTTACAAATTTGAAGGTAAATTCGAGTTTGGAAAAATGTTAGAATATGTGGCAAAAATTATTTATAAAAAAGATAAAACTGTTCTAAGCAAGTGCTTCAGGCTGTTTACCACCTACTTTTCATTAACTGAGCAGTGGCATGATATATGCCAACTTCTTTTAGCCTTTGGTTTCTTTTATTTTTAGCCACAATAGCCTCAATCTTTTAAACTTTGCCACTTTGACCTATGTGCATGCATGCTCAGTCAGACACTGTGTATGCATGTTCAGTCACCAAGTAGTGTCTGCCACTTTGTGACCCCATGAACTGTAGCCCTCCGAACTCCTTCTGTCCATGGGATTTCCCAGGCAAGAATACGGAGTGGATTGTCATTTCCTTCTCCAGGGGATCTTCCCAAACTAGGGATCGAATCCAAGTCTCTTGCATTGGGAGGCAGATTCTTTACCACTAAGCCACCTGGGAATCCCCATTTTGAACTACACATCTACTTATTTGACAGTAAGTCCAGACCACCTACTTTTTTGTAAAAGCCATCAAAAGCCTTAGTAAATTGACTTAAAGGGAGATTAAAATCAGTGATCTTAGGATAAATAACATTATTCTTTTATATAAAATACCAAAGTTGTAAGCCCTCAGCATTTTTCCCTTCTGTTATTTAAAAGGACATGCTGATATATACCAGCTGAAAATTTTTAAAAGCTCTTTCTTTTAGTCTTATGCTCTGAGAACGATCTCCAAATTCCATACCACGTTTATGTTGGCCTTGTAAATGCCAAAGTATTTCTTAGAGATACAATCATCTGGCACTGAAATTTTGCAGACAATTCCTTGGAAGAAACTTAAACAAGATATTTATCTGAACGTGTTTAAAATTTCCTTTTTAGGAATTTTGTTCCACTCAGGAAACAGAGTTCTACTTTGAGGGCCTTTGTTCTTTTTTAATGATGTGAGAATTTGAAAAAAGGAAAATAAATTAAATAGAGATTGATAGAATCTAAACTCTCCTTCTAGAACATATAAATGTACAAATAATGAAGCGCTAGTGAATGGTACTATGTAGTCTATTATCCCAAACAAAAAGTACTAAATCATTTAACTCATACAAGACTTAGACAGAATAGGCTGTATAATTCTGATATTATAACAGACAAATAAAGATAAAAAACAGCATAAAATTTCAGTGGTTTAAAAATAATAGGCATTAATTGTTCATACACACTAGCTGTCCAATGAAGGTTGCAAGCAGGCTCTGCCTTCACAGTCACTCGGGGATCCAGAGAGACTGGGGTCCCAGACTGAAGATTGAAGAAGGGAATGCATATTTTGCAGTGGTTCTTAAAACTCCTACAAACAGGACATGCACTTCTTTTGCTCACGTTTAATTGGCCAAAGCACATTGCACGGCCATGTCTAACTTTGAAGAGAGTGAAGAAAGGCCTTCCTTCCATTGTGCTTGAAGACGGTGAACAGGAAATACGTGCTGAAGCTTGAGACCATCAGAGGCCCGAGACTGTACTTCTCAAGAATGTGGAGAATGACACCACGGGATTATGGTACAGAGACCTGATCAGTGACACAACCACCTGGGAAGTCCTGAACCATAGCAGGGAAGTGCATGCAACTACCTTCGTCTCTGCGGAAGGGAGACGAGGTTGAGAGCTGAGTGCAAAGCCGATAGATTAAGTATGGAGGGGCAGATAGCGAAAGTTGCAAGACAGAGAATGGGAGGTGGGATTTGGAGCATTTTTTCTGCTAATCCACCATCAAATACAGAGCATTTTTTGGGTTTCTTAGAGGATAAATAAATACATAAGGCCTCAATACACTGAAACAAGGCCGACAATGACTAAATATGAATTCTCTTTCTGTCCTTTTTTTTTTTTTTTTAGTGTAAGAACTCTTACTGGATGGACATGAGTCTGAGCAAGATGTGGGAGTTGGTGATGGACAGGGAAGCCTGGCTTCCTTAACTTGTGTGTGTGTAACAAAGAGTCAGACACGACTGAGTGACTGAACTAAACTGAAGAACTCTTACTGGTAAATATACATATGGCCAAATATGAGCCATTCACAATTAGAAACGGGCCTCAAAGAAAAGTGGTGTGAGATATATTTTTTCTCCCCTTCCCTTTGTCACCAAGTAGGATGCTGTGGGACCTTCCTGGATAGACTTTGCCCACACCCTCTGCTTTAGCTCCTTTCTGATGTGCCTAGATAATAGTATTCAGTACACATTTCCTGAGTTGCTCTGCAGGTGTGCAAGCCCCCCACCAAATGGAAGATGTTGCCTGCCTGTTGACCATGCGCACACAGCCCCAGGCCTCTGTAGCTCCAGAACTGATCATGTTAACCAATGTGCCACCACCTGCCACCTCACCATCAGCCATTCAGGGAACTGTGCACAGGCTGACCACATGCCTTCCACACCTGCTCCCTCATCTGGCTCTTAAAAGTGATTTGCGAAGATCTTTCAGGGAGTTCTGGGTTTTTTGAGGCAAGAGCTACCCATCTCCTTGCATAGCTCTGCAAGAAAACCTTTCTCTGCTCTGAACTCTGAGGTTCCACTTTGTCTGGCCTCACTATCTCCGAGGCACACAAACTTGCACTAACCCTTGGGCACCTAGCCAGCAGAAAGGATATTGCCCCATGACATCAAAGTTGAGAATTAGGCAAGTTGAATGAGATTAAATATCACAGTTTTCACATTTTATAAATGAGGGATAAAAGCATTCTACTTTTTCATCTGTATTAGAGAACTAATTAAACTGCAGATACTTTCTGAATCTACTCCAGGTTAAGGAAGCCTAGTGACTGATGTGAATGGAACTCAAGGATTCTATAGAATGCTGAGCCCTGAAAGCCTGATTCAAGAGGTTCACCAGCGGAGTCAGGCTCAGAGAAAAGGAGACATGCCCTAATGGGTCTACTGGCCCCAACTGAGATCAAAGGTAGTGACTTGGCCAGACTTTCTTCTCTGTCTTTCCCAGTGCTCTTACCCTTCAGATGATTCATCTGAACCCATAATCAAGGATTCTTGGGGCCTGAGTGAACTCTGTTATAGCTCTGAAAAGAAGAAAAAAAATCCTCTGCTTAAAGGAAAAATAGTTATTCTCAAAAGGACATTCAATATTCATATTCTATTAGCAACCTTGCCCAGGTTCTATATATTCTATAATCCAGTAATGTATCTACTTGACATTTATAAAAGACTTCTATGTTGTATCATGCTCTTTCCTCTGGGAAGCATTTATAAAATTGCAAAACTGTCTCCCCACATCATGTCTAAGAGAATGCTAGAAATTGCAAGTAGAAATACATTATTGTATTATTCAGTCATTCTCTGTGTGGAAAAAAAAAAAAAAGTCAGCCCCATTTTTAAAAAATCTCAGTTCCCTGTCTTACAGCAGAAGCTTCATTTGAATGAGTTGGGATTCTGCCACTGGTACTATTACTGTACTCCAAGATCTTCCCTTTGCTCAATTTTCTTCTCTAAATTGAAGTCAGCATTTCAAGCCCTGCAGAAAGCAAATGCATCTGGTCTCCAAGGTTTCCTTGCTTTACAGACAGAAGATACATGGGTTATTTAATTCCCATTTCTATGCCTAAAAAAATACACTACTATGTTCTACTTGCTCCACAGTGGGAATACACCTGATTTATATTTTGCTATTTACACTAAACAAGACAACTTCAAGCCAAGTCTTTCATTCTGAAAACTTTATCTTTTATTGGAGGAGAGCTCTTTGTTAATGCTATTCTAAAACCTTCACTCCTTGAATCCTGGCTGAACTGAAGACCAGGTTGAGTAATAATATAAAGTGGTTACCATGGTGGTTAGTAGCTTAGTGAAAAGGCACCAGTGGGTTGCATCTCAGATCAGCAAATCAGGTCAGAAAGAAAATAAAAAAAAAATAACCTTTCCTTTCTGTAGGCTTCAGCCATTTTATTTAGTCCTTTCTAAAACTTGATATCATTCTAAAAGATTAAATTGTCAAACATGAAAGAATCTATCCATTGCTTTCTCCTATAAGACTCTTTTATAGACTCACAGAATCTCAATGAAGCAAGAGTGTTCAGTTGTTTATTATGTCTGCTTTCTTTGATTCCAACAAAATATGTATTGAAAGCTAAACGGTTACTTTTTGCCCCCAAAGAGTTTATGGTGTAGTTTATTTCAGATGGCTAGCTCATTTTGCTTGGTGCTAATGAATCAAGGCTTACAAGTTCAGACTTCAAGTGAGTCAGTAAGTTTGTTTGTCCCTAGAGTTCCAGACAGTGTGCATTGAATGAGAATGGAAATAAACCATTCCTAGTGGACAAATCACCAAAAGTACATACTTTTCTCATGGAACCTCTAACAGTTTGTACATGATTCAACACTCTTTTAAAGCAAGGTATTTTATTTTCTATAATCTTAGAGCTGCAATTCATTTTAAGAGATCTTTAGATCTGACTCCCTGCTTTCCAACAGGTGAATTTGAACTCTATTTCTTGTTTGGCTCATACTCCTTTTGAAGATGGAAGAAACTTAGTAGGCATTTTCTTAGGAATTCCCTTTAATATTTCCAAATACTGTAAAGTCATTCCTTTGTCTTTCCATTGCATTAAACAACCCTAATATGCAAGTTTTAGAATTCAAGCTACATATTATTTAGTGTGTTTTGTTAATCTTAATGTTTGCCCTGATTTTATAGAAAGTTGTTAAACCAGACATTAAATTTTTCTCCCTGACTTTGATCTATAATGACCCAATGGAGAATCATGAAGCCAATTCTGGGGAAAGTGACTTTTTAAAATGTGTTCGTTATTGAAGTTATTTTCTTACAAAGAATAATACTCCAGAGCATTCAATAAGTTTTATCCCATTATATGCTTTTTTGAGGATTAAGAATAGTATCCTTAATAATTTCAACATTTCTTAATGGACCTAGAATCATTTTATAAAACAGTTGTCATGTATCTGCTGTAAAGATGTTTCCACTAAGAATCATCATTGCCCCAATAAAATGGGGATATTTTGCCAAATTGGAAACAGTATAATGTGGTGGCACAAATCTCTTTGAAAACTGAGATTGGACATAGCACAGCTGTACTCAATTTAAAGCCTCCCATACCTTAAAACAATTTGCCTTATCATTTTATTTTTTGTCTTAGCTGAGCATTATTTACAGAATAATCAACTTAAACTAAAAAAAAAAAAAAACCCTAATTGGCACCATAGATAATTTTTAGAAGTGGCATTACAGCAATATTGAAAAGAAACCTAAACAGCCTGAAATGAAGCATTAGTAGGAAACATTTTAAATGAGATGACATAACGAAAAGTAAAGAAAGCTCACTCTGAGTGCTGGAAAACACTGAGCAAATTTACTTAAAAGCAGGAAGTGACCGTTGTTATAGGCCAAAATCATGTGAAAATGAACTTTTGTCAGGAAAATAAGAGAGAGATAAAAACAATGGAAGAAAAATCAGTTGCACAAGAGCAAAGCCCAGAATTTTGTGGTTCTTTCTCTTATCTCCAAAGTTACAGAGCATCCACTTCAGAGTTATTCCAGTAAGGGTGACAGATTCGCCTGTGCCTACTCTGAAAGTTGCTTGGTTTATGGACAGAAACAGATCTTAAGATGATGTGGGCTTCATCGAAATACATTTGTTTTCAGCCAGCTAGTAGATCAACTTGTGTCTAATCTGTTCCTCAGTTTGCATAATGGATGGAAATTCTATCAAAACCAGAAATGGTATGACTTTTGTCCAGAGTTCAGTGATAAATTTTCAAATGTTTTAAAGAACAAACATTCTAATACTCTTCCCATTATTGATATCAATGGTTCCTTAACATCTCTTCTAAAAATATCTAAATAAAATTAGGTAATATGACAAGTTAGAAAATGTCAACTAGATAAACTTGAATCTGCTATCTTCTTGCAGATAAATCATGGGCCAAGAAGTCCAGTTAGATAAATGGGAACAGTTAGGGAGAGACACTATCTTTACCTTCTTTCTTTCTATTTTAGCTTTTATCCATAAATCTTTCTGTGCTTTCTTTGTGGTAGAAGCAGCATTTCTTCCTGTTCTCAGCACTTTCATGGATTTGAACTGCTCAACTCATTTATATAAAACATACACCTATTTTAATAAGACTCAAAAAACTAGTATAAAGAGTACCCTTTTGTCAAATTTTTATTTACTTTTAAGATTGAGTCAAATGTTATCTTTTTAAATAAAACTTTCAGTTACAATTAATGGACTCCAGGTGAAGTCCTTCAGACTCTTAATAAGTTCATAATTCTCCAAATCCATAACAGTGATCATTCTGCTTTATAAGTATTTAGAGCCCATGAGATGTTTGAGGAAAGATAGAATTATTTAGTTATCAGTATAATCCCGGCTTGGACTACAGTACATACTGAATCACTTCAGTTGCATCTGATTCATTGTGACCTGATGGACTATAGCCTACCAGGCTTCTCTGTCCATGAGTTTCTCCAAGCAACCCAGAATACTGGACTGGGTTGCTGTGTCCTGCTCCTGGGGATCTTCCCAACTCAAGGCTCCAACCCAAATCTCTTATGTTCTTTACCACTAATGCCACCTAAGAAGCCCATACATGCCACATGGCACTCACTGCATATTGTCGTCAAATGAATAGATGGATGAAATTTTTACCTGAATATTGCTGAGTTAGCCTGCCAATTATTTCTGGATCCTGAATATGAAACATCTAATGTTAATTACTGTCATGTAAACAAAATATACTTGTCCTATTTCCTAGCCTTTTATTTTGAACTATATGCTTGGCCTATTGCCTTAAAGATGTGTATCAAAAACAAAGGGTTAGATAGCTACTCCTTGTCTACATGTGCATATGTGTGTATGAGCACATATTAGATAGAAATGCATGTATATATAGGTATGCACACATATATTATATCATCAATAGATATAATGAGGCTGTGCAAATCAATGCTGGTAGTACATTTATAGCAGATTATTCCAAATATGGAGGAGGGCATGGCAACCTGATACAGTATTCTTGCCTGGAGAATCCCATGGACAGAGGAACCTGGCGGGCTGCAGTCCGTAGGGTCGCAAAGAGTTGGACACGACTGATGTGACAGCACACACACACACACACACACACACACACATGCATTCCAAATAGGTGTCATTTATGACTTTTAAGAGAGAAGCTCCACATTAACCTTGTCTATAGAGGTATCTTCATCTGTAAAATGGGAATAATACTATTATTTACCTCATAGGACTATTGGAAGTTTAAATGACATCCTATATGTAAGATGCTTAGAACAGCAGTGTTTAATACCTAGTAAGGATCAAGCTATTATTATCATCATTACTGTTTAGTACTTAAGGGAAAAAAGCATTGTCATAAAAATTTTGCAACTGTCTCTGTGAAATATTAATATCTTATTTACAAATGCAACATTTTACTAATGTAACCAAAGTTTATTTTGAAATCTACAGAGAAATGGAATTATCCAATGCATATAACCTTCACCTTTCTCCACCGTACACATACACACATGCCAACACCACTCCCCACAGAAATATATCTTTTTTTAAATGCTATAGACAGGATGACTATTAACCTTAAATGCCTTTGCATATTTCTCCAAAGAATAAGAAATTATCATAAAACCATAATGTAGTTCATCCATTCAAGAAATTTAACCTTGCTACAGCTCTATTTTTCCATATAAAGAACATACTGAGATTCATATCCAAATTTCCTCAATTGTCCCCAAATTGCCTTTGTAGCTGTCCTTCCCTGTCTCCAATTAAGTTGTTTCATTTACTTATAATTTTTCTTCAATTTTTTTTCAAATCTAGTGACATTCACTAGCTTGTTTCTGTTGTTGTCATCATTGGTTTTTTTTTTTTTGACACTAAATAATAAAGACACCTACAGTATTTGATTGACAAAATGCTCTTCACTTTTGCTTGGCTGATTAGATTCAAGTTAAATATACTTTTAGCAAGAGTATTATATAGGTGATATTTTGTCCTCAGTGCAACACATGGAGAGGTATATCAATTTGCGATTGATAGTATTTAAATTTAGTAATTTTGTTACAATGACTGCTAGTTGAAGGCAAGAAATTAAAATTTGTTTTAGATATCAAATATTTCAGTTGATACTCTTGGATAAGTATAAACTGATGATCATCACCAAAATGAATCATTACAATGAATATTGTGAAATGATGATTTTCTAATTTTAGCATTACTTCTACATTTATAAGTTGATAATTTTCTGTGAAGAGGTTTCCATTTCCTTCTTTTCTACTTGTTTTTTCATTTATTTGTTAATTTTTAATCTCCTTCCTTCTACAGTGAGATATAAGGTCCTCAACAATATATTTACACAATGTCTCAAGCAAAAAAAAAAAAAAGTTGAGGGGAATACTGCACTAATAGTAGCATCAGAACCAAATCATCTAACCAAATTAACATTCTATTGTTAGTACTTTTTGTTTTAAGATTATATCTCAGAGGGCATACGTAAGACATCTTTTTTTCCATTACATTATTAATTAGATTGCTTATTATTATTTATATTTGTATACAAATTTAATGGGATTGTCTCATATATTTAAATATGTAAGTATTTAAATATATAACTATTTTTCAATTAGGTAAAATATTAATCTCATTTAAAAAGTCCAAATTGTATAAAAAGACATATTCCAAGAAATCTCACACTTTATTTCTTTTACTTCTTACTAAACATCCATGATCTTTTTTCACTAGGTTTTATATTAATGTATGAAATTCTCTGAAGATATATATATATATATATATTCCAATCATTAAATAATATCTTGGCTAATGTAAAATTCTAGGCTTCTGTCCAATTTTCTCTATTAAAAAAAAAAATCATTGCTACAATATCACTTTGCTTTGTACCTCTCTTTGTACCTTGCTGCTGAAAAGTCCAATACCAATCTAATTTTCTTTTCTTTGTAAGTGACCGGATAAATCCCCTGAAAGATCTGAAGATTCTCTTAATCTTAAAATCTAATAATTTTATAAGTATATGTTTTGTAGTATATTGTCCTGCATTAATTGTCCTGGTTACATATTATATGCTCTCAAAATGTAGTTTTAGATAACTGTATTCTAGAGAATTTTCATTGATTATAATGTGATTCCAGTCATGCATATATTGAAAATTCATTACTTATTTTCTATATTTATCTCTCTTCTTTTAACTTCAATTTAAGTTCTAAGGCTGATTTTCATAACTTTCCTTGATGTAATATACTATATTATTTGTCAGGTCTATTTTCTTTTGAGCATTTTGTAATGTAAATTATTTCTAGGATTAAAAATCTTTTATTTCATTTTTATTATTGAAAGCAAATACCTCTCTGGTTTTGTATCCTCCAGTTCTTTCCCCCAATTATATTATAAGATTTTGAATTTCTGACTTGCTAGTTGATTTCTTTTTACTTGTTTACTTTTTGTTTTCACCTCCAAGTTTTCCTTTAAGCATTAATTCAGAGTTTGTAGTGGTATGTATAATTTTCTTCTATTTCAGGATTTCTGGCTGGTGACAAGGAGACCTTCAATTAGGTGAAACGTTTTCATTCTCATTTTCTGTTTTATTTTTTACAGTAAATTTTCATGCATTTGTTTTTTTTTTGTTAATTGTTCTACATCTTATTTTTCTTTCTATAAACTTATCTTATTGATGCATAGTTGATTTACACTGTTGTGTTAATTTCTGCCTTACCATAAAGTGATTCAGTTATATTTATATATTTATTCTTTTCCTTACTTTTTTTATTATCGTTTATCCCAGGATATTGAATACAGTGCCCTGAGCTGTATAGTAGGACCTCGTTTGTCCCTGGATTTGAGTTCTACATTTTAGATAGCACTAGGTCTCACAGATAGACATAAGTAATATTACTGAAAGCACATGGGTGTCTCAGGTCTTCAGAATCTTGTGCTTAGTTTTGGCACAACCCATCTCATACGCCAAACATCTTCTCTCATACTCAATGGCATCTAGACTTTGGGAAAACATTTTTACCCACCCCTACCCTATATCCTTGAAAGGAAAGGCAAATATGTCCAAATAGTTTGAAAGCACATAAATAATGCTACCACTGAGGTGAAGAAAGTGTGCTGAGCTAAGGGAGAATTTGAGCAAGGGAAGTTTTTAAATAAAAGGAAAAAAAAATAAGCAATTTGATAAAAATTTCACAGAGCAATAATAAAATAGACTTATACATATTTGGGCTTCTCTTGTGGCTCAGCTGGTAAAGAATCCACCTGCAACGAGGGAGACATGGGTTTGATCTCTGGGTTGGGAAGATCCCTGGAGAAGGGAAAGGCTATGCACTCCAGTATCCTGGCCTAGAGAATTCCATGGAGAGAGGAGCCTGGCAGGTTACAGTCCATGGAGTCACAAAGAGTTGGACGTGACTGAGCAACTGTCACACACATACCTATTTAGTTGTAAATTTAATAAAAGAATAGTTGTGTGAAATTGTATTGAGGTCATTTAAATGATTTTTGAACTGGTCTTATCCTTTGATTTATGTATATTTCATTGCACATCAAAATTAGGCTTCTGTTTTCCTATCTAGTTTCTTATTCAGTAATTTTTGTCAATGAATTATCAGACATCTGTTGAAACTATTCATTTCAATCACATTTGCCATTTGATGAGATGTGATATATAAAAATCATTTGTGTTGTTCACTCAGTTGTGTCTCACTGTTTGCAACCTCAGGGACTGCAGCATGCCAGGCTTCCCTGTCCTTTAGTATCTCCCAGAGTGTGCTCAAACTCGTATCCACTGAGTCAATGATGTCATCCAATTACCTCATCCTCTGCTTCCCCCTTCTCCTTCTGCCCTCAATCTTTCTCAGCATCAGGGTCTTTTCCAATGAGTTAGCTCTTCTCATCAGGTGGCCAAAGTATTGGAGCTTCACCTTCAGCGTCAGTCCTTCCAATGAATATTCAGGGTTGATTTCCTTTCAGATTGACTGGTTTGATCTCCTTGCTGTCCAAGGGACTCTCAAGAGCCTTCTCCACATTTAGAAAGCATCAATAAAAATCATAACACTACTTTGATAATTGCACTATTAAGGCATACATTTCATGATACTGAACAGAACATATTTTATTTAATGAGCTGTCAGCTTGATTTATAATTTTTAAATATTTGAACACAGATTGTATTGCCTCCATTTATATTATTGCCCCAGAATCTATCAGTCTTGGGTCCCCACCTAGTAACAGTTGTAGTAGGCTGCTGTTGTAATTAACATTTTATGCTTCAGCTCAGTTCAATAGCTCAGTTGTGTCTGACTCTTTATGACCCATGGACTGAAGAATGCCAGGCCTCCCTGTCCATCACCAACTCCTGGAGTTTACTCAAACTCATGTCCATTGAGTCAGTGATGTCATCCAACCATCTCATCCTCTGTCGTCCCCTTCTCCTCCTGCCCTCAATCTTTCCCAGCAGCAGGGTCTTTTCAAATGAGTCAGATCTTCCCATCAGGTGGCCAAAGTATTGGAGTTTCAGCTTCAGCATCAGTCCTTCCAATGAACACCCAGGACTGATCTCCTTTAGGATGGACTGGTTGGATCTCCTTGCAGTCCAAGGGCCTCTCAAGAGTCTTCTCCAACACCACAGTTCAAAAGCATCAGTTCTTCAGTGCTCAGCTCTTTTTTATAGTCCAACTCTCACATCCATACATGACCACTGGAAAAACCATAGCCTTGACTAGATGGACCTTTGTTGGCAAAGTCAAGTTCTGCTTTTTAATATGCTGTCTAGGTTCAAGTTGATATCATTTAGGATACACAGTGCATCGTCCACTTTCTTTGTGTAATGCATCAAGTCCAATCAGGGACAGCAGTTCTTCTGAAAGCCTGAAAGCCAGTGCACAGTGGCCGCTGTATGGTGCCATGCCCAAGACCAAAGGAAAGGGCTGCTTGTCGTGACTTTGGTGCAGATAAAAAGCAGTGTTAAGAGCAGTGTTTATCATTGTGCCAAATATACGAATTGACTCAGACTCATTCTCTCATGAGGTAGGACAGTGATAGAAAATCGCTCAGATATTACAGAGAGTGACCAAGAAAGAGGTCAATTAAATTACTCCTAACTCAAGACTCACTGTTTCTCACATAGATTATAAAGTTGCCTTCCTAAATTTCCTTTCGGTCTTTAGTCTTGTCCTTCACAAATCTAACCATAGTGTGATAGCATTTTCAACAGGGTAAGTTAGGGGGAGAACATTAAAAAAGGCATCAGAAAAGGTATCTCTGAAGAAGTGACATCATTTTGATGAACTTGGCATGATCAGAATATTCATGGCAGAGGGAACAGCAATAAGATGTGCTAACAGTTAAGAAAGAGCTTGACTATATTCAGGGACCATGAAAATGACCATGTTGAACAAGGTGGGAGAGTGGGACAGTATATATGGAAATAGTCTGTAGAGACTAGATCATTAGTACTTCTTTCTATTATCACGTCATGATACATGATGAAGGATCTATACCATTCTGATTTTCTATGTAAAGCCTTTCAAATCCTCCCCACTACATAATTAATAAAACCCAATCCCTTTAGTATTATTTACAAAGTCCTCCATACTCAGGCATCTTTCTATCTAGTTTCCTTTTCAGTAATTCCCAGTCTCTTCAGTAACATTCCTCAAACAGATCTCGTTGTGATTCTTTGGATACAATATGCTTTTCTTCTTCTTGTGCAGTCGCTAAGTTGTGTCTGTCTCTTGCAAGCCCATGGGCTGTATGTAGCATGCGAGGCTCCTCTGTCCTCCACTATCACCCAGAGTTTGCTCAGATTCGTGTTCATTGAGTCAGTGATGCTTTTCTTATACATACCTATATTCCATGGCTTCTGTATCCTCTTCTTCAATGGGAAACATCACTCTGCATATATCTTTGCAAGTTGAAGTATACATATATACATAAATGCATACATGGACCTAGTCAATGAATATCATTCCATTTGATTCTCAAAAACAGTTCAATAACTGAGGAAATAGAAACTCATAGGGCAAAAGTAATTTGCCTAGAGGTAGATCCAGCAACTAAAGTGTGGTTGAGCTAAGATTCAAATCAGAGGTCTCTAATGAAAAAGCTGCTCCTCTTTCTACTGCATGAAATAGTTTCCCTCCTATTTCTCATGATAAATGAATAAAACCCTTGCTAAGCACATAATTATGCTCTATAAATTTATCAGATTGACTAACTTAAGAGCCAGGGATCACAAATTTTAATTCTGGTAAAGACTCCAAACTTGCAGCTTCAATTTTTTACAGGTTCAAAAGCATTAATTTGCTCAGACCACCATGGTTTTTGAGATCCAATTGAGTTCTAATGCTTAATTTGCAATGCTAAATTACCTTTTCCAAAATCTGATAGTTACAGATTCTGAAATAGGCCAAAAGTTACAAGAAATTCACACTGTGAGCTAATATCCTAGAGCAAAGTTCCCATTAGAAGATAAAGATTACATTTAGGAATTTTTCTGAAAGGATATAAAAGGGTGTAAAACTTCTGGTTTCACTTTCAACAGACGGAGTAACAACTAGGCAGATAGTTGCAGCTTATTCATTATGTTTAAATTGAGTTTCAGAAGTTTGGATGCAGTATTATTATATAAGCCACAAGTTATAATGATGTCTTATACTTAAAACAGTTTCATAGTTTAGAAAATATTTTCTCTTGTATTATTTTATATTCATAACAATCCTGTGTACTTGGGGGGGAGGGGATATTATTATCACACATGTGATAACTTTACACATACTAGGACAAACTCAAAAGGGGCTGAAAAATCACGCAAGGCCCCACAACAGATGGCTATTCTGGGCTCCATTTTGGAATCTGAAATCCATTCAAGTTTATAGCCTATTATATGTAGAGAAGGAATATTTTCAATGACAAGCTCTGACAGTACAGAGTTTGAGAGTTGTTGCAGTATTCAGTGAAGAAAGAAAGGAACCATGTATTGCTCTATAATTCCAGTCTCAAGCTTTTTTTACCCTTGAGATAGTCATAGGATGATAATAAGACAAAATAATAAAGGCTTCTCTAGACTATAAAAGTTGAATATATTAATAGCTAACCTGAAAATACTTTGGCCACCTGATGCAAAGAACTGACTCATTTGAAAAGACCCTTTGAGTTTATTTTTTTGTGTGTGTATGGTGTTAGAAAGTGTTCTAGTTTCATTCTTTTACAGGTGGTTGACCAGTTTTCCCAGCACCACTTGTTAAAGAGGTTGTCTTTTTTCCATTGTATATCCTTGCCTCCTTTGTCGAAGATAAGGTGACCATAGGTNGACAACATACCTCAGACATGGGAACTAACTTATGTAATTGGACATGCAAACGCACATTTGCATCTTTGAAAGTTTGAAATGTCAAGGTTCATATATAGGGGACTTACTGTATTGTATGTAGTGTACTCTATTAAGATTTCCTTGAGAAAAATAAGTACCCATTGCTTGAAAATAAAGATTTCCATAGTCCAAAATACTGCTTTGTTCATTTTGCTATGCTCAGCCCAAACCCAATGCTGAGCATTTATTGAGCACACATGTAGAAGACACTCCACCAGTCTGCTTAGGAATAT